GTGCCCTGTTCTTCCCTAATAATAGTTCTCCATTTTTTCTATTTCTCTATAAAACATTGACAAATAAATTTAAAAACACTAAGACTACAAAATTAAAGTTATAACTTCATTATAAAATATTTAATCCGTACACAATAAATATAAAACACGTACAATTACTTCTTCAAAACACAATAAAACTAGAGCCAAAAAACTAGCAAATATGTCAAAAATATACACAATGAGTCAACTAGAAGATTTGCATTCGAAAAGCTAATGCCAAACACTGGAAGGCAAATATTACTCTCACAATCGGCTCCACCCATTTAACCAAAACTTCACACAAGACATCTGAAAACAAGCTGCTTACATAAATGAGGTCCAAGAAGACATATGCACAAGAGAACTCAATTTCAAATTCTTCTCTTAATTCAGCTTGACTCCATAAAACTGCAATAAGGAAAGAATATAGAAATTAGGTACATTAATTTTTTTGATAAGGAGGTTAGATACATTAATTAATAATATAGGAAACTCAAATACACACAACATTAACTATGTGTCCATCATGTTTAGAATAAGCTTATCACACAACATTAGAAGTCTTTGCTCAATTGAATATGCAAAAATTCATGAAACACCTTCGTCAAATGAGTTTAACACTATTCTTTGGCCAAGCAATAGCACTTCCCATGACTTCATCAAGAACTTGAAATTCATCAGTAGGCCTATATAAGCTCAAATGACCCATATACACTTCTTCAACCCAAACCTTCCAACAATCTCGTCCAAGTGGCATGTGGTGTACCTTTGTGTTTGGGTCGGTTGATGCAATTTTCCCTTCCGCTATGATTTCTTCCTCATCATACTGGTACGAATGCAATAATTGACAACTTGAATTTTCCAAATGCGTAGTCCCTCCCTGGATACCACTTCCTTATTGGGACTACAAATTCACAGTAAAATGAACATATTCCCTTTGAAATTAGTATACCATATAGTCTGAATTTATATTGAATAAACAATAAATAATATAAGATACATAACTTGAGGAGTAAAAGCATGTGAACTCATGTCATCTACATTCTTATTTTGACTTTGTAAAATAATTACATAATTAAAAAGTTATTCTACGTAGTTATGTAAAGCTATTTTATCATATTATATATAATGATAAAGTATATAACTTGAGATAACTTAAGAAGTGCTTCAACTTTTTCTTCTAGTGCTCCAACCCTTTCTGACTGCATTTGTAGATTGAACCCAAGCTTCTATCTTTTTCTGCACTTCTGGAACTTAATTTTTATATTAGCAAGTTGATACACATAATAAGTTTAATTATTATTGACAAAATTCAGGTATAATGCACATACCATAGTGTCAGCAACAGCTTCATCTATAGGTTTTTCATCCCTTCTCAGATGTCCATAAGTCTAAACTCTAGTTCTTAACCCTTTCATGTCTGGATAGTTTTTTTTCTACAATACAAATCGTGTCATTATATATACTAGTATTGGACATATGCAAGAAACTTAATATAAACTATAAGGAATGAAGATATATAAGAAAATCGTTATAGATAGGTATAGACAAGTAAAGATAGTTTGTATGTGTACCAAATCGTAAGTTGTACATTGATAACCCTTTCGACCCACAGTGTGTAGAAGCTTCTGATTAGCTCTCATTTTGCTGAACTTGGCACTTTTTTCCTATTAAGAGAACATAAAAATTGAATAACAGTAATCAACTAGATTTTAAACTCAATTAGAAAATACAACTTACTTGAAAGTTAGTAGAAAGAGTATCTTCTACGAACTTCTTCCATGCTACATTCTTTGGTCTAAGAAGGAAAATAGTGCGTGTTCTATTCACAGATGATGCTGTTTGAATTCTGATTTGTTTTCTCAATCTTGATTTGTATGTCCTCTTGTACTTTCCCATTTCCTGAAATGTCATTTTTAATGGAAATCACTCACATTGAACATTTACTGAATTTTGTGTACAAAGATAAGAAATGATGTCACTAGGAAGGAAATAGATAAAGAAATTAAAGTTATCGTATTTATCAACGTACCTGTATGAAAGTCCAAAGTTCCATTTTTTTAGTATTACTTACCGATTACAAATCCTTAAATACAACTGGCACATACTCTCGTACTATGGCTGCAGCCATGCTAGCAAATTTATCAGAGTTAGTGCCAATTACTTGTCCGAATTCATTAAATTCAAGCTCCATCTTATAATTCATATTTTCAGGAACTGCCTTCACTTGGGTTGGACCCCTTTTCTTTTTTGGAACATCTACATTTGTCGGCGACACATCTTGCTCATTAATAATTGGAGTTGATACAGTATCTTCTGGTTCACTCGAAAGTCTTAGTCTTTTACTGGTCTCTCGAATTGTAACGGTAATTGCAACTCTTTGACATTTTGAACTTTTTGAAGCTTGCTTCGTTGACTTAAAGAATGCAATATGAAAACAAAATGTAATTATCCTCTTGTTGACAAATTTCTTAAGAAATATAAAAAACACACATACCTGAGCTGCGTCCATCGTATAACGTATATTACTGTGAATTGGCTTAGAGCAAATCACTTCAAGAGTACAGAAATCTACAAACAAAAAGAGATAGATTTACCAAACTAATTAATCATTATAACAAGCTCCGTGGTGAAGTTATTACATGCTAAAATAAACTTCAAAAGTCATAACAAAAGCAATTGATCTACAAGTACCTTTAGATATAAAACATGTGTCATTTATAAGGATATTTACCAAACTAATTAATAAAAGTGTCACATAATATGCCTTCGACATCTATTCTTGCATAATTCTCATCCTCATTATGATTGTCTTTTAGTTGTGCTACATCTAAAGGAATAGTTGCCCGGTGAGAAGTATCTTCTTCCGTATATAACGTGTCAAAATCTCTTGGTGACACTTGCAAAGCAACATACCAATTAGATGTTTCATTCTCTCTGGAATAAAACACTTGTTTCACCTACGATGCCAAAATGAACGGATCATTTTCAAATTGTCTGTATTCTTCATGAAGATTAACTAAAGTGAACCCATCTTCCTTTTTCATTCCATTCATGATATTTGCCCAATCTCATTTGAATATTGGAATATGAAATGCATTGTAATCAAGCACTATAACATCGCGCAGAACTCCATAATAAAGAACCTTCACAACGACATGTGCATTATCTTTTGCAATAGATCTACAAATAGTTGTTGCTTCAACTAAAATGCCACTATTTTTTCAAGACTTTTCTACATCTTTAGTGTGAAATCGAAGATCATTTATTACAAAACTAAAATATGATGTGGACTGGCATCTAGGGCTACGTGCAAGCCACTTTAAAGTATTTGTAACATTGTCCAGCAACAGTTGACCTTTGATCTATTTTTATTTTAAAAATTTTAGGACTAAAAAAATAAATAACATAATTAAACACTATAAATTTCTTATACGTGTGTCAAACCTTATCATCCAGCCAGGCAGCAAAAGAGTCAATGTGTTTCTGTTGCAATAAATTCTCATTTCTTTCAAGTCGTTTGTCAAAACTCTGGAGTTCGTCCACATGCGTCCTAAGTGGAAAACAAGCTATCGAAAAAAAAAAAAATTGGTCGAAGAACTTAAAATGTAATAACATAGTTATTTCACAAACATACTGTATGTAGGGTGCCACTTCTATACTATTTAGTAACACATAGCGATGGACAACTTTCAACATCTCATCTGGTAGCACAATCGGCTTCCCTTTAGAAATTGTGCGCTCTACAACTAAGAAGTTACTTTCAAATTCTTCATTGTATGAAGGCTTAGAGCCTATTTTGGATGCTTGTTTAATGTACTTGCGACAAAACATTTCATTTTCTTCAACAATGTATTGTTCAACAATACACCTTTCAGGTCTTGCACGATTCATAACATACCCTTTCAACACTTTCATATACCTACACAATTACCAAAAATCTCATAAAATGTACAACCAAATTGATAACAAATTTCACTTTTGGGAATAACTTAAAGGAATATTACCTCTCAAATGGGTACATCCAACGATATTGGACTAGTCCACATAGACGAACTTCTCTTCCAATATGGATCATTAAATGAACCATAATATCAAAGAAAGAAGGTGGAAAATACATTTCCAACATGCATAAAATTTTAGAAATGTCATCTTCTAAACTTTCAACGTTATTCCTATCTACAATTCCTTGACATATTTCATTAAAAAATGAACACAATTTAAAAATGGAGTTCCTTAGTCCTTTTGGTAGAAGTCCTCTCAATGCAACTGATAGTAATTGTTGCATTAAAATGTGACAATCATGAGACTTGAGTCCAACTATCTTACATTCTTCCACTGAAATACCATTTTCAATATTAGAACCATAACCATCGGGCAATCTCATGTTAGCGAGCCTTTTCCAAATATTTGTTTTTCTGCTTTTGATAAAGTATGAGGGGCAGCAGGTAAGTAGAATTTATTTCCTCTTCTCTCAAGATGTAAATCATGCCTAATGTTCATCATTTCCAAGTCCTTACGAGAGTTAATGCAGTCCTTAGATTTTCCTTTCACATCCAAAAGTGTACTAACGATGCTCTTACAAATGTTCTTTTCCACATGCATCACATCCAAATTATGACGTACAAGTTAAGTCTGCAAATTAAACATTAATCATGTCACGATAGACTACCTACCATTAGGAGTATTAAATAAAGTAGAAAGAAATATTACTAGAGCTAGCTTCCAGTATGATAGCATGAAAAATATTGACTTATTCTTCCACGTTACATTTGATTGAGTTGTATTCTTTTTTCTCTTTCGCTTACTACTTTTCCCCCAATCATATGCAATTTTATCAACTTTATTAAAATCTTCTTCATCGTTCTTTATCTTCGGCCTAATGTCATTTCCAATACGCCCATTAAACTAACTCTTTTTCATGCGAAATCGATTACTCAAGTCAATAAATCTTCTATGTCCCATGTACGCAAAGTTCGTACCATATGATAGCCATATGGAACACGTATCTTCACGACAAATAGGGCATACAATTTTTCCCTTAACGGGCCATCCAGATACATTTCCATATGCAGGAAAGTCATGTATTGTCCACATCAAAATAACTTTTAGGTTGAATGTAGATTTTGTAACTGCATCATACATCTCAACCCCATCACTCCATCACTTCATAACAATATTAAGTCATCTACAAGTGGTACCAAATAAACATCTATGTCATTACCATGCTGCTTTGGTCCCGGATCAATAAACTTAATATCAAACTTTCCTTCGACATGCAAAATGAGGGAGGCAAATCATATATAGTTAAAATTACTGGCCAACAACTATATTTAGAGCTAAGATCTTTGAAATGATTAAATCCATCAGTTGCAAGATCTAATCTAATATTTCGAGCATCTGATGCAAAATGTAGCCATATTCTATTTATCATTTCCCAACTTAATGAGTCAACTGGATGCCTAATTTTACCGTTTGAACTTTTATTTGAGTGCCATCTAAGTTGTGTCGCTAGCTCATCTATTCCAAACATCCTCTTAAGTCTTGGTAATATAGGAAAATAACGCAAAACATTTGCTGAGATTTTCTTTTTTAAAATTTTCTTTGTCCATTGGTTAACTTTCCATCTTAAGCAACCACATTTGGAACATAATTTAGCATGTTCAAGCTCCTTTCTATACAAACAAAATCATTTAAGCAAGCATGTATCTTCTTATAGCCAAGGTCAAATGTGTTGACAAATTTTTTCATCTCATAAAATGAGCCAAGAAGTGTATCATTCTCTAGCAACATTTCCCAAACAAGATTTATAAGTTCATTGAAACCACTATTCGATAAACCATGTGTAGCTCTATGTTTAATCATAGCAATCGAAGCAGACATCTTCTTAAATGCCATACAATAGGGATACAAAGGTGTTTCAGCATCGTCAACCAAACTTTGAATCTTTCCATCTCTTCCATCAAGAAGGTTTTCAAGATCTACATCTCGTTGTACATAGAAGTCCCTACACATCCTCTGTGACTCAGGCATTTCCACATCGAATGAATTTAATTCACATGGTTGTTCTCCATGATATACCCAAACAGTGTACGTATGATCCATTCCCTAAATAACCAAATGTTCCTACATTGTTTCATAATGATGATGCTTTAGATTCTCATACTTAACACAAGGTCATCCTATCATTTCTGAACATAGATTTTCACGAGATAGTTCAACAAAATTTTGTGCCCCATCTCTATATTGTTTTGAAAACCTATAAGTAAAAAGTTATGATCATTTTATGTTAAAAAGAGTTTAAATTTTGTAAGTACATTCAAGAAATCTTATTTTAGACATTGACCTTGATAATTATAACCATGCTTTGTCCATTATTATTCTCTCAAACATTGAATACATAAATACAAATTCAAAGCCTAATGTTCCCAGAAGATTGACTGCTTCCTCCGCGTAATAGAAATCAAGTTTCCTTTATTTAAGTCTGTCCTTTGCGCGATTAAGTTGCAGTCACAAAAAGAAAAGTATTTGAAAGTATTGTACTTCAAAGAAGAGAATTGTAGAGTTGAATAACAGAAATCAAATGAATCTTGATGACAAGGCTTTGTAACCTGGATTTCAACAATTTTGCTAATTTGTGTAGTCCAAAGGTTGGAAAACAATGTACTCATCAATCCGATTCATGAACTTTGGCCTAAAATTTTGTCTTGATAACTCAACCACTTGGATTTTCATCACGACATAGACAGCATGCTTGCTATCCTGGGAGCTTCTAAAGTTCAATAATCGTAATAAATATACACAATTCAATCTATAACAATATGTTCATTAATATTAGTTTTAATTAATCACAAGTTTTCTTTAATTTTACTAGGTACAAGAGAAGAAATTAGAGAAAGACAAATTTGATCTCAAAATCTTCTAATTAATGATTGAATAATTCCATATTCAACCCGACAATATAAAATAACACAAATTATTCCACAATTAATTTGCCTATTTTGTGTATGAAAATGTAACAGGCACCCATAATAACAACGCTAAATTATTCCATAATTAATTTGTGTATGTTGTGTGTGAAATGTGATAAGCACCCGTTCCCTTTTGACCCGACAAGAAACTCCAAATCAACAAGAAGAAGCTGTACACTCAACCCTTATTACATACGTTTCTCTTCAATTCCATATTCTACAAATGATTATGGTACACTCAAGTCACACACCATTATTACATATATTTCGATCAAGTAATGGACATATTGTTTTGATAAAATTTGACTTACCAGAACCGGTAAACTCAACCTTCAATGTGTCAACCCATTAATAGGTGCCAGAGATTTGATGAGAGGAAAAAGGTAACTGATATTTTTCTTCAGTGTCAGAGATTTTATGAGAGACAATCGGCAAGAGAGGGACAGTCGGTGAGAGAGAGAGGGGGGGGGGGGGGGTGGGGTGCTAAAAAATCCTCTTGGCCACATGGAAACATACGGAAGGTAGCATGTGGCATATTTAAGAGAGCATGTGAGAATCGTGAGGCGGAGGGGGGGGGGGGGGGGGGGGGGGGGGGGGGGGGGGGGGGGGATTAGGTTTGTGGGTTATAATTGAAGGTTTTCATTTTTCCTTTTAGGTAAAGAAAGTGGGTCGGGTTAACAAAACATTAGCCCAATAAAAATAACACAAAAAATCGACCCAAGTTTAATGGGTTGGGCTAACAGCTTTTGGGACTTTTTATTATTGGCTGGTCTAGTAGGTAATAGAAACATAATCAAACAAAAAGAAATGGGCCTTTTGGGGGTTGGGCCCAAAATGTTTAACAGCAACGGGCAATGTACGTTGCTAAAAGTTAATGGCAACATTCAAGAGACGTTGCCAAAAACCTAATGGCAACACACAATGTCGGTTGCTAAAAGTTAATAGCAACGTTTAAAAGTGCGTTGCTAAAACATTAAAACGGCAACACGCATTGTCTGTTGTGAAAGTCGAACAACAGCAACGCGTAATGTGTGTTGCTGAAACTCTACAGCAACACACATGGCATGTTGAAAAATAAAATCAATGACAACGGATTTTGCACGTTGCAAAAGGACGAATTAACAAAATTCTTTATAAAAATGTTGTGAAAACTCAATTTTGTTACCCAATAGTAACACGCACTTGTTGGACGTTGCGATGAACCCCTTTTAGCAACATGTAATTGGTGAATGTTGCCATTTGCATGTTGCAAAAGGGATTTTTTCTTGTAGTGGTAGACTTAAATTTACTGGAGTTTTAACTGGACTTTCATCATATATATGAAACTTCTTAAGTATAGTCTCAATATAGTGAGATTGAGATAGAACAAATCCCTTGTATGTCTTAAGAATTTTAATTCCTAATATTACATTTGCACTACCAATATCTTTCATGTCAAAACCTTTTGTTAACATTTTCTTGGTAGTTATTATATTATCACGATTATTACCCATAATTAGCATGTAATCAACATACAGACATGCAATTACATATGCATTAGGTATGGTTTTAATATAAACACATCTTAAAACCATTTGACAACATAGTTTTGTCAAATTTTGCAAGTCACTGTTTTGATGCTTTCTCTAGGTTGTACAACAATTTAACGAGTCTACACACCTTTACCTCCTGCCTAAGAGTAATAATCTTCGCGGGTTGTTTCATGTAAATTTCTTCTTCCAGCTCTGCATTTAATAAAGCTATTTTAATATCCATCAAATGAATCTCGAAATTATGCAATGTTGCGATTGCAATTAATAGTCTAATAGATATTATCCTTGTTACAGGAGAGTATGTATCAAAAAAAGAAGACCCCCTTTTTGTTTGTATCCTTTAGCTACCAATCTGACCTTATATTTATCAATCGAACAATCGGTCTTTAATTTTCTTTTAAAAATTCATTTATAACCTATTGGTTTGTTACCAGGTGGGAGATCTGCCAACTCCTAGGTATGATAATATAATCAATTTGACTATTGATAGCTTATTTCCGAAATGGAGCTTATGGACTGGACGTTGCTTTATTAAATATCCTAGGATCATTTTCTAACAAATAATTTAAAAAATCTAGACAAGGGGATATATTTGTTTTGGTCCTCTTACTATGTCTTGTTTCTTTTTGTCTTCAAAAAATACACAATTCGTAGATTAATAATAGTATTTTCATGTACATTCTGAATATTAGATTCTGGTACGAGGAACCAATAAGCACTATTGTTTTTAGCATATCCAATGAATATGCAATCGATAGTTTTTTGTCCTATTTTAACTTGTTTAGGCTTCGATTCTTCTACCTTAGCCAAATCCCTCCATACTTTTAAGTATTTGTATGAAGATTTATGACATTTACATAACTCATAAGGAGTTTCATTTCTACTTTTGTGTGGTAATTTATTTATAATGTGGTCATGTAATAGAATTACTTCCTCCTAAAATTCTGAGCTAAACTAGAATTTATCAACATAGCGTTTATCATCTCTTTAAGAGTGCGATTTTTACATTCAATAATACCATTCGACTGAGATGAATATGAAGGTCTAGTTTGATGAATAATCCTAGGGTCTAAACAAAATTCTTCAAATGATACTCCATATTCTCCAGCTCTGTCACTACTTATAACTTTTATTTGTTTGCTAAGTTGACTCTCAACCTCATTTTCATACTACTTATGCTTCTAAGGCTTCATCTTTACTTCTTAGCAAATAGGCATAGCAATACCCTATGCAATTATCTATAAAAATAATAAAATACTTTTTACCTCATATAGTTTGCACAAACTTTAAATTACAAATATCACTATGAATTAGTTCTAGAAGATCCAAGTTCCTTTCAATTGAATAAAACAGTATTTTAATTAATTTAGCCTCTGTACAAGTTTCGCATCGATGATTTTGATCAAATGAAATAGAAGACAATAAATCTAAATTTACTTATTTACGTAAAGTATTAACATTAATATGTCCTACAATCAAGTAAGTAGAAGATTTATTTTTATTAATATCAAAATCACGAAGTATATGCATTATATTTATTTTGAATAGCCCATTGGCTAAGTAATTCTTGCTCACAAACATGCCACTTTTTGTGAATAAATCTTTTCAAACTCATACACTAGCCTAAATCCATTTTTGATTAACAAAGCTCTAGATACTAAGTTTTTGTAAATATCAAGAACATACATCACATCGATGAGGGTTACTTCTTTTCCCGATGTCATCTTCAACACTACTTTACTTAGACCAATAACTTTTGATGTTGTCGAATTGCCCATTAATAGTTGTTGTTCATTGATAGAAATGTAAGATGAAAACATCTCCTTATTAGCATAAACGTAACGCGTAGCTCCAGTGTCTAAGAACCATTCTCTCGGATTGTCCACCAAGTTCGCTTCAAATACAACAACTAAGAGCATTAGTTGCACGCCGTTAGAAAATTTGTCTTCTTCGTCAAGTGTACTTGGTCTTTTTTATTTTTCTTTTTTTCAGTCGACAATCCTTTGCAATATAACCAAACTTACCGCAGTTATAGCAATCTCCTTTAAATTATTTGGCCTTGCACTTTTACTTGCTATTACCCGAGTACTTCCTATCCTTGTTAGTATTTGGTTCCACCAAATTGACTTTAGCCTCCAATTGCAACTTTCCAGAACTTTTTTTTTTTTTTAAGAATTTAAATTATCTTGCTCAATTCATAATCTTACAACTATGTCTTCAAGTCTTATTTTCTTGAGTTTATGTTTTATGTAATTCTTAAAATCTTTTCACATTGTTGGTAATTTTTCGATAATCGCAGTGACTTGAAACAACTCATTGAGCTTCATACATTCTGCATGTATCTCATGCAAGAGGATTTGTATTGATTCATCACTGTTTTAGAATCAAAGTCCATAAATTTTCCTTCCAAAAATTTCTTCAATCTGGTATCTTCTATTTTGTACTTCTTTTCCATCGATTCCCACAATAATTTAGGTGTCTTGACCGAATTGTATATGTTGAGAAGTGTGTTGTCAAGGCAATTAAGGATGTAGCTCTTGCACATGAAGTTATTATAACTCCATACAATGAATGCTACTCATTTTTGAGGAGCTGTTTCTTCCTTCTCAACAGTTGGAGTATCTTCACTCAAGAATTTTGCCAAATTCAGATCTGTGGAATAAAACTGCATTTTCTATTGCCATCTTTTAAAATCCATTCTCGTGAATTTTTTCGATTTCTCCCGTGGGCATTGTTAGGGGTATGACAAATGTAGCATCACTTGTCATAATCTAAAAAAAAATTAGAATATAAATTAGTACGTAAACAAAAATATCATCTTAAGATTGTTGATCTTACCGTACAATAATTTATATTCAAACAGTGAATAAACAGTTGGGCAGAATTCTGACTTACTAAATGAATGGAATAAAAGAAAATTATAATGATTGAGGCAAGAATTTGACTCTTTCACCTTAAGAGGACATCGTCCCACATGGTACTGACGATCTTCCGACACCCATCTCCCAAAATATAACGACATTTACTTGTAATAGTAGCACTCTAAATTACAAGATTCGGCGAACCTACTAGTGTTTTGATCTCTTTAAAATTGGAAAACTAAAATGCCCAAAATTAATATTCGGGACTAAAATGCACAATATGGAATAATGCAGGACATAAGGATTATATTTTGCAAGAGAGAAAATCAAGAATGATTTTTGGAATGGATGAAATCCGTGACATGTGTAACTATTTATAGAAGTTAAAATGTTGTGTCCAAAAGACACAACAATCAAAAAATTGTATCTTGAACAAACAACCCATTTGAACAGGCACTTTTAACAATCAACTGTTAGTTTCTAAAAGATGCCACGTGTCACACACACAAAAATTGGGAAAAATAAATAATACAATTCAAACATATTATTTAATAATAAAATAATTCAAATATTATTTAATATATATATCAATCTTGGCCCAAGTCCCTCGTGTCAAGCAGAGCCGGCCGATCAGTTAGACTGCAGCATGCACGAGGTTTTGGCTCAGTCTACTAGCATGTAGATCCTCTCTTCTTCAAAAACTATTAGTACCACATGAGGTCCAAACCTAAGTCCCAAACTTGAGCAATATAAAATGGTTTCTATTCTTTATGTGGGATTGTCATTTTTCAATTTTCCACCAATTTTTTCCCCAAATTTCAACTTCAAGTGGTTATTTTTTTACCTTATTTTCTCATTAACCCTTAATTGGTTTTGAGAAAATATATATATACATCAATCTACTCGTGGAGTAGAATACACTTGGCCAAAGAAATCTTTTATTTGACTAATAGGATCCACTTAAATAATTAGTCAAAAGTTTCTCAAATCATCTAATTACACCAATTTTCCAACAGAAACATGGCACGGGTCGACAATCTGGGGTTGCTGAAGCGGTAGGTGTTGACC